GCACCCGCGTGACATCCATGGACGCATCGTCATCATCAACCGCTTCACTTGTATCTGACAACTCAGCAAAGGAAGCAGCAGCAGGTACAACATCATCATCATCATCACACCGTACGTCCATGTGTGTAATGCTGCCTGCCTGAGACATATCCCTGTTATCTACATCCTATGGCAATAATGGTTGCGCATCACTCATTTCTTCAAACGGATGTGTGAATAACTCCTCTGACATACCAAGTAAAACTAGCTGTGGTGCTAGTTTTGGTGGTGGCGGCAGGCGGGTGAGTGTTATCTTGAGAGGTGCCTAAAGCTAAGCTGGAGGAGGATGGTGCGTCAAGGTTCTGAGCGGAGGCTGTAGAAGATTGGGTGTCCTGTGTTAGCCAGTCAACTATGTCCTCAGAACTTTTCAAGTTCAGGGTACGTGGCCTCTGAAAACTGGGCATTATTCTAGGGCCAAAGGGAATCACAGCACCACGACCATGATGGCCCCTGCGGGGTGGCTTGCCTCTGCCTGTCATATTTTTGGGGATTAGTGGTACTATGCGTGCAAGCTACTGTGAGACCAGATATGAGTGGCAATGTGCACTGGCACAGTTGTGCAGGGCACAGGCTGTAGGCCTGACACAGCCGCTTGAAGGACACTGACTGGCTGCTATTAGCTTACACTGGAAACCTTTTTTTCTTTGTAAAAGCACGCTACAGAGACACCAGATATGAGTGGCAAAGTACACAGGCAGAGTAAACTGGCAGAGTACCTGCGGCTGTGGGGCTGACTTTGCAGCTTTAAGGACTTTACTGACTGCTATTCAATCAATAACAGTGAAAAAAGTTTTTTGTTTTTAAATCCAAGCTATTTTGACAACAGATCTAAGTGGTGGCACTGGTCACCGTATCCACTGTTAGCGTAACACACCCGCTTTAAGGACACTGACTGCTATTCAATCTATAACAGTGAAAAAAGTTTTTTGTTTTTAAATCCAAGCTATTGTGACACCAGATCTAAGTGGTGGCACTTGTCATCGTATCCACTGTTAGCGTAACACACCTGCTTGAAGATAACTAACAGCCATTCAATCTATAACAGTGAAAAAAGTTTTTTGTTTTTAAATCCAAGCTATTGTGTCACCAGATCTAAGTGGTGGCACTGGTCACCGTATCCACTGTTAGCGTAACACACCCGCTTTAAGGACACTGACTGCTATTCAATCTATAACAGTGAAAAAAGTTTTTTGTTTTAAAATCCAAGCTATTGTGTCACCAGATCTAAGTGGTGGCACTGGTCACCGTATCCACTGTTAGCGTAACACACCCGCTTTAAGGACACTGACTGCTATTCAATCTATAACAGTGAAAAAAGTTTTTTGTTTTTAAATCCAAGCTATTGTGTCACCAGATCTAAGTGGTGGCACTGGTCACCGTATCCACTTTTAGCGTAACACACCCGCTTTAAGGACACTGACTGCTATTCAAACTATAACAGTGAAAAAAGTTTTTTGTTTTTAAATCAAAGCTATTTTGACAACAGATCTATGTGGTGGCACTGGTCACCGTATCCACTGTTAGCGTAACACACCCGCTTTAAGGACACTGACTGCTATTCAATCTATAACAGTAAAAAAAGTTTTTTGTTTTTAAATCCAGCTATTGTGACACCAGATCTAATTAGTGGCACTTGTCAGCGTATCCACTGTTAGCGTAACACACCCGCTTTAAGGACACTGACTGCTATTCAATCTATAACAGTAAAAAAAGTTTTTTGTTTTTAAATCCAAGCTATTGTGACACCAGATGTAATTGGTGGCACTGACTTGGGAAATGGGCACAGTATGCACTGTGAGCCTGACACAGAAGCTGGCAGCAGTGGCAGACAACTGACTGCTATTCAATCTATAACAGTTAAAAAAGTTTTTTGTTTTTAAATCCAAGCTATTGTGACACCAGATGTAAGTGGTGGCACTGACTGGGGAAATGTGCACAGTATGCACTGTGAGCCTGACACAGAAGCTGGCAGCAGTGGCAGACAACTAACTGCAATTACATTACATAGAAAAAAACATAAAAAAAAAGCATACCCTAACCCTAACCTAGCTATGCTTTTCCCTATCTAATGAACAGCAGCTACACTTTCCCTCCTCTCACTAAGCATGCAGCTTGAGAATGAATCTAAAATGAATGCCTTCCAGGAGGTGGGAGGGTCTGCTAGGGAGGGTGTGCTGCTAATTGGCTGGAATATGTCTGCTGAGTGTGAGGTACAGGGTCAAAGTTTACTCAATGATGACGAATAGGGGGCGGGTCGAACCGCGCATATGTTCGCCCGCTGTGGCGAACGCGAACATGCTATGTTCGATGGCGAACCGTTTGGTACATCACTAGTATTCGTTGTAGCAGTGGTAAGAAGTTCGTTCGGTACAGGTCTCTGGTGAGTGCTATTCCCAGGTATTGCATGTGATTTGCGCACCATTGGAATGGGAATTGTTTTTTTAATGCGTCTGCTTGGGCCGTCGGGACAGTAATGTTGAGTACTTCGCATTTGTTCATGTTCATTTTGAATCCCGAGACCTCCCCATAGTCTTCGAGCATAGTAACCAGGTGGGACATTGTTGTCTCTGGGTTTATAATAAAGAATAAAAGATCATCTGCATATGCAGCCACTTTTTGTGCTGTATTACAGCTTTTAAAGCTCGGGATTTCATCCGATTTACTTACAGCATCTAGGAACGGTTCAAGGGCCAAGGCGAAGAGCATGGGGGAGAGTGGGCATCCCTGTCTCATCCCATTGTGAATCGGAAAAGATGGAGCATGGAGGACGATCGCCATTCCCGCCCTACGGGCGGTCGGGTGGTTACTACAGGCCGCGCTGGGATAGTGTTTGACTTTCAGCAGCGGGGCATTTCCTTCCTTAAAATGTGTTTCCTGTAGGAAAGCAATTGATATGTGTCTAGAGGATAGGTCTCAGAGGAACTGCGACCTGCGCTCCGGGATATTTAGGCCCCTGCAGTTCATGGTCGTAATGCGTAAGGGGTCCGGTTCGTAGGCCATTAGTGGTTGGCGGGAGTGGTTCGCAGTGGCCTCCAGCGATGTGTTCGCTCTGTCAGGGGAAGTCTGCTGCCGAGTTGCACCCCGTCCCCGTGGAGGCTCTGCAGTTACTGTGGCAATGGGAGGGGGTTTCAGGGGTGTGGAGCAGGGGCGGGTGGGGGAGGAACAGATGAGGGGAGAGGGTGAAGCAAAAGAATAGAGGGGGTAGAAGGGAAGAAGGGGAAGACCCCAGTCCGCACGTCAGAGCAGGCGGAGGTGTGACGGTAGCGGCACCTAGAGATAGGTGACAAGAGTCCCTCCTGAGAGGGCTGGTTCGCGTGACCATGGTATTAGTTGGTGGTCGGGCCTGCCAGACAGTGTCCTACAGCTTCCAACTATCGACTCCCCGTGGATTGGGGTTGTTCACGTGAATGTGATGGGGGTTAGTGGTTGTGTCCTTGAGCTTCCTCCAAATTAAGATGTGTTTTCTAGAGGTTGTTTTAGGGACATGTGTCCGAGATTACTCAATGGGTGTGCCACCACCTTAAGAGTGTTTGAATGTCGTTTACCTGGGCTAGTGTAAGTAGTGTGCCCTATCATGGACCCCCAGTGACCGTCAATGTTGTTGCCATTTGCTGTCTATCAAGGGGACATCGCGTGGAGACGGAGGTAGGCGTCTCTTCCCTTCACGTCCCATGTTTGTTTCCCCCCCCCCCGGGGGCAGAGGGTGGGGTGGGGAGGGGAGAGGGTGACGGGAGCTCAGGTTTCCGTGGGATGACGTGTGTCAATATGTGGGTATGGAGCCGTGTGTTGTTGGTCGGGGAGTTGGCTAGTCTAGTGTGTCCGAGTAGAGTGTTGGTCGTGGGCATCGCGGTCATTCTTGGTCGGGTAGCCGTAGTCAGGACCAGTTTCCCTGTTGTGTCAAATGTAGGACTGGGGGGAGGGGGCATAGACATGGTGTTGCCTCAGAGCATGTTACTTATCGTGTGGCTCATGGGGTGCAGGTTTGGGCAGGGTTAGTGGCGGGTTTTCCTCCGCTTATCTCAGTGGCAGTGTCGTTGTGGATAGCGTACAAGTTAACTATAGGAAATGCATGTCATACATTGTAGTATACTTCCCCCCCACCTGGAGCATGTAACATAAATACAGTTGAACATAGTATTGAGTCCCCCGCCCCCTTCCTTCTCCTCCTGTCCAACCTGCGTGCCTGTCCCTCTTCCCTCCCCTGTTTACCTCCTATTGGTCTCACCAAGATGCATGGAGTCAGAAGGTGGTGTTGCTATCCCTGATATCATTTAGCTCCCCCTGCATCTAAACTCTAGTGGTACCAGGAGTCCAGTATGGGGGTCCAGATCTCCCCTCATCTTTCCCACTCCCCCCCCCTTCTAACTTTGGTCCAGTGTCCTGACTCCTTGGCCCCCATAGCGTTTAAGTTACCCCCTATGCATATATATACATTTTTGTGTGTTTCGTTTCCCCCTCCCGCCTCCCCAGACAGACCCTGTGTACGTGGGTCACCGTGTGTGTCCATACTGTCTCATGCATCTGGTTCCCAGGCAATGCCGTTGAGCTGAGGTGGTTACCTGCGGGATACATTTATTCTTCTGGGTTGGATGGGTGTGGGGGTGCAGCATATACCCGGTTCTCTCTAGGGCTCCTCCGCGGGTTCCGTGGTTGTCTCTGGGGTCTGGGTTCCCGGTCTAGTGGTTCCAGCATCCAGTCTGGGACTGCTATGGGTGGCAGGTCCAGCCTTTGGAGAAAACGTGCTATTTCTTCTGGCCAGCGTGCCGCGACCCATTTGTTGCGGTGTCTTACTTGGATGCTGAATGGGAAACCCCACTTGTAGGGGATATTGCGTTCCCTTAGTGCTGTAGTGATGGGTCTGAGGGCATGCCTAGCATCCAAAGTGGTACGTGAGAGGTCATTAAACAGGGAGACCTCTGCCTCCTGGTACCGCCACGTGGGTCAGGTCCTGGCCTGCTGCATTATGCATTCTTTAAGGGGAAATTAGTGTAAGCAGCAAATAATGTCACGGTGGTCCCCTTCCCTAATCCTGGGTCGTAATGCCCTGTGTGCCCGCTCAAGCGGATGTCTGGTAGCGTGTCGCTCCATAAAATCTGGTTAAAGAGCTCGGTCATCATCTCCTCAACATTCTCCGTCCTCTCCCGCTCCGGCACCCCTCTTACCCGGATGTTAGAGCGGCGACTCCGGTTGTCCAGATCCTCAACCTGTCTGCGCAGGGCCAGTAGCATGTTGCCCTGCCTTGTTAGGGCTGTATCTGTGGCTGAGGCCTGGTGCTGTGTGGCTTGGGCCTGGGCTTCTAGTGCCTGGATGCATCCGTCCTGTGCCTCTATGTCTGTGCGTAGTGCGGTGACTGCGGATGTTAGGGATGCCATAAGGGTGGTGGTCACATAAGGGTGGTGGTCAGGAACTGCAGGTCTGATTTTGTGACCATGTTGGCTGCTAGTCTCCTGATCTCTGCCCCAATATCAGCCAGAGTGGGCTGTTCCTGTTCTGATCAGGAGGAAGCCGGGGAGACAAGCCCCATCTTGGATCTGTGCGCCTCGCGGCTCGGTCCCAGCGGGGTTTGCAGAAATCCATCGGTCCCGATGACGGTGCTGGCGGTGCTGCCCTGGGGGTCTGCTGGTTCTCCGGTCTCCTAGTGCATCCCATTTGGGTGAGCTAACAGGCTGGAAACGACTTGTAGTAGCTTGGTGGCGAGGAGCGAGGGATTCACGCGTCCATACTAGTCTGACTTCAGGCCACGCCTCCAGTCACATGTTAAGCATCTTTTTTTTCTATTGTTGTTTTTCTTTGCTGCTCTCTTTAAGTAAAGAAAGAGACATGCCCGATATGATATATTTGTGTCTCGAAATAAAATCAAGTATTGATAATATTAGAATCTACTGGACACACATATGAGTGGCTTCATAGTTGATGTATTTGATTTCCATATTTCCATTTTCCTTCTTTTGTAGGACCTGAATGTATGAGTGAGTTACCAGAAGCCTGTGTGGCACTGGCATCTCCAATGCTGTGAACATCATAATTACATAGTTACATACCTGAAAAGAGATTTGCGTCCATCAAGTTCAGCCTATATCAACATCCACATCACATTCACATTCTCCCTTAGAGTAATTTAGTTTACCTTGATTTTAACTTGGTATTGACATTTTATTTACTGATTTTCTGTAGCTCACTGATCTTCTTGCAGATGCATCCAATCTTCACCATGTCTACCTCGTATTCATTGGCCAACATTTTTTTTTTATCTTTTCATTCAAAGACAGCTTTATTTATTCTATTATTCTCCACTATTGATGACTACATTTTATCGCCCGCTGGCCCTGCCTGTAATAAACGTTTTATTTCCCTATTAGGATCTCTGACTCTGCCTACAGTAACCATATCTGTGGATCGACACATAACCTTCTTTCTACTTACCCTTCTACTTATTCCTTCTGCATCATCATCTTGCTGTTCTTCACTCTGTCCACATCTTTCATATCCATCAATCCCTCACTCTATTCCTGTCATCACAGTTACTCTCTCTGGGGCTCCGTCATAGTCAAGTGCTCAATCAATTTCTTACACTAAGTCAGTCACCAAGTACAAAATGAAAGATAAATTTGTACAATGTCAGAAAACAAAACCACTATATATGGATTTAATGTTGAAAGTGATTGGTGTGATATGTGCCAAAATGTATTGTATATGAGTGACCCCATGATCTACACTACAAAGCCAAACATATCACAGTTGAGGCAGGGTTACAACAGAATTATTAAAGGTTGAACAATTAATTTCTCAAATCATTTTTTTTTTTATCAAACTATCTCATTAGAGTGTGACACACAAGCAAAACATTATTTTTTTTAAATCCCTAAATTAACCTCAATGCATAATTTAAATAAAAGACAACATCTATAAATTTCTTATATGGTCAAGAAATTGTTGATAAATTACCTTTTAAGTGTTACTCTAGAATAAATCACTGCAGACAAAACATATTGGTTTTCAATCCTTCACATTCATTCACACATGCCATGTTCTGTGATGTTTAAAATGTATTTAGCAAAAATAAATACCACAATAGTGATGTCCCGAACAGTTCGCCGAACGGTTCGCGGACGGTTCGACACGAACGGTTCGCCACGGACTCATCATTGATTAAACTTTGACCCTGTACCTCACAGTCAGCAGACACATTCCAGCCAATCAGCAGCAGACCCTCCCTCCCAGACCCTCCCACCTCCTGGACAGCTCACTAAGAATGCAGCTTCACAATGAATGTAAAATGGATGCTGTCCAGGAGGTGGGAGGGTCTGGGAGGGTCTGCTGCTGATTGGCTGGAATGTGTCTGCTGACTGTGAGGTACAGGGTCAAAGTTTACTCAATGATGAGTCCGTGGCGAACGGTCCGTGGTGGCGAACTGTTCGGCGAACCGTTCGGGACATCACTATACCACAACACCAATGGTTAATGAAGTGAACATACATTTTCCAAAGCCAGATAACTATTGTGCATAAAGCAAAACTTTTGGTAAAACCCTTCTGACCTCAACTTTAGGGAGTTTTTACAGTCATCTACTCTTGTAATCAACATATAATGCTCCACAGAGTCTTTTTTTGCCTCTGTTTCTTTTTTCTTTGTCTCAGAAATGTTTGTTTAGAAACTAATCATGTTTCAAAATCTTAGCATGGAAACACATGTATTGTAGAATACCAATTTTAAAAAAATAAATAAACTGGCTAACGTTTGAGTGCAGACAGGCTCTTCACCGTTCTTGTTGAGTAGACAACATCTATGTGGTTGCTTACACAATCAACAACCAAATATTCAAGGTACACTATAGTCACCAAAACAACTTTAGATTAATGATGCCGTTTTGGTGTATATATCATGCCCCTGCAATTTCACTGCTCAATCCATTGCCATTTAGGAGTTAAATAACTTAGTTTATGCAGCACTAGTCACACCTGCATGTGACTTCCTAAACACTTCCTGTAAAGAGTCATCTAATATTTACACTTTCTTTATTACAAATTCAGTTTAATTTAGAATTGTGTGTCTTCTGCTCTATTGAAAGGCATGCCAGGCCTTGCTGGAGCCTCCTGTTTGCAACTAGAGTTCAATTTACCGAACAGGAGAGACAAGCGTTTAAAGTAAGTTATATCTGATTGAACATGAAACCATTTTGTTTTCAGGATGGCTGTGTCAGTCACAACCAGTGAAGGTGTGCCTAGGGCTGCAAAAATAAAAACAAAAGTGATTTAACTCATAAATGACAGAGAATTGAGCAGTGAAACTTCAGAGGCATGATCTAAACATAAAAACTGCTTCATTAAATTAAAGTTGTTTTGGTGACTTTAGAGTCCCTTTAAACCAGGCTTCTCCAAACCCCAGCCTTCCAGCTGTTGCTGAGCTACAACTCCCATGATTCTGTGAAAGGATAAATTTCCTCAACCAGTTTGGAATCTTGGAAAATATATGCTTCTGTTTCGGCAGTGTAATAACTTATTTTTTTGTACGTACGTTCAATCTTTATTGTTGCGACTATACTAATTCTAGTCTCATTCTTGCTCCCCAGGGTATATGTCAATGAAAACTAGAGAAATCTCAATGCATGTTTTCTGATAAAAAAAAATAAAAAAATCTAGCTAAATAATTATAATATACATTTCTCCTATTTTACTATATGCCTCCCTTTGTCGCCAAAAACATGCTCTTCAGTTTTTATCTTGCTTTATGACACAAGCACGTTTGTTTTTTCTCGCTAAACAGCCAATCACAGAAAAGGAGGGTAACTAATGTGTGGACAATAGATTGATATAGAGTTGTTACTTTCTTGCTAACATGTTGTAGTTGCAGTTTGCATGGGCAATGTCTATCAGAGGATATTGTGATGGAAGCTGCCATGCCATGGACTTTTGGAAAGGCTTGAAGGCCAGTCTCCTGCCCACAGACTATAAGCTTGGTTTCAAGAAGCCCTAAAAGGGGCTATTGTCACTGTGAGGAAGGGTATGGGGGACGCGGAAGTGTACAGTGCTTACCAGCCAGACATGAGGACATCTCGGGAACACCTAGTCTCATTTAACATATCAAACACCTAACCAGGAGATAGCATGAAACACTCTAGAGCTGTTCCACGGATCGGGACTGTGCTGAGATCTGGTCAATCTTTAAGCAGGTATTGCTTGGTGGGGAGGTCGGGGAGAAAAGAAGGAATTGGAGGATTCTTGGGGCTTGAGAGCTATCCTCTCCGCAGAGGTCCAGGAACCCCTTATTGGAGACTGGAACTAAGCCGCCGCACACCTGGAACTCCTCACCTGATTGGAGAATAGAGGCAACCTGGTAAAACTTTTACACACTGTAACTGATAGGTGGGGACAATGTAATTAAGTCCACAGACAGAGTGGCGCATGGGAGGGAAAATAATACTGTCCCTTTCATTGTATGGAGGACCCCCTGCAAGATGAGTCAACACTGTTCTGTATAAATAGCCGTGTGCTGTGCAATAAAGATCAGTCTACCCTCTACATACAGACTTGTCTAATTTGTGGGGGAAAAGCTATAGTCTCTGCTTTAAATGAGAAAAGGTCTCCTGAACTATAATTACTACAACCTGTTCCGGTGAAGAGATCCCCAGAAACCCTAGTCAAGCTTCGGCGAGTGTTTCTAAAGTCAGTGGCATCTCCAGGATTCATATTTAAAAGGGGCCAGGGACAAAAGTAGGTGGGCAGTTATAAAGCGTGTACATATGTGTATGTATATACATATTATATAGTGTTCAAGTAGAGATTGTAGCCGTATTAGTCCAGTGATGTCCAGTGATTTACGACCCTCTGCAAGAATGTTGTCCATTTTTATCAAATCTGTGTCTTATCTGCACTCATGCCGCTTTAACCCCTGTATCACATCACAACTCAACTTTAAATTCTATGTGTCGTCTTGCTCAGAAAGGCTTCAGACTTGAGAAAGGGAGGTTCTCCCGAAAACTTGTCATTCAAAAATTCTGTTAGTACAATAAAAAAGGTATTACAAGATTTAGATATAGATTTTTACATCTATATATTTATATTTATTTATATATATATATATATATAGAGAGAGAGAGAGAGAGAGAGAGAGAGAAAGAGAGAGAGAGAGAGAGAAGTAGAAAGGTAGCTGCAATCATGGTCTTCTATGAAATCAGTTCTTTACTAAGTCAAGATTAAAATAGGATCAACGTTTCAGTCCTTTCACAGGACTTTCATCAGGATTAATACAATAAAAACAAATTAAATCACCATATATATAAGGAAAAATGTAATGGAAATAGACTCGACTCAGGTGTAGTGCATGACCGACGGCTTCCTGCCGGATTCAGTGCGCATGTGTGTACGTGCTCCGC